ACTGACTCTCAGTCAGGGGGCATTAATGAGCTGATCAGATGATCAGGTGAGCTGAGCAGCAGGACCAGCTTCAGGAGACACTGCTGTAGTTCATTTCCGTAAAGGGTAAACGATGCGATTTGACACATTTTGTGAGAAATACAGTCATCATGTTGTTATATTAGTTAATGTAAAGCGTGTGGCCGTTTTGTCTATATTTGTGTTCATCTGTTAAAATGATTACACTAATTAAAGTTATTAAACTGACTGAACTGACTGTGTTCTGAAGATGTGAGCTGGGTGCAGTACCGCTCCACAGCCGCAGGAGGCGCTGAGCTGGGTGCAGTGCCGCTCCACAGCCGCAGGTGGCGCTGAGCTGGGTGCAGTGCCGCTCCACAGCCGCAGGTGGCGCTGAGCCGGGTGCAGTGCTGCTCCATAGCCGCAGGAGTCGCTGAGCTGGGTGCAGTGCCGCTCCACAGCCGCAGGTGGCGCTGAGCCGGGTGCAGTGCTGCTCCATAGCCGCAGGAGTCGCTGAGCCGGGTGCAGTGCCGCTCCACAGCCGCAGGTGGCGCTGCAGCTTTTCCAGGCTGAATGTTTCAGCTGCGGCGGAAGTCACAGCTGCAGTGTTCAAACTGAATTTTCACAAATATTAATAATATTTCAGATTATTAATAAAGTTAATGGCGGCGGAGGCGAACGGAACGGAGCTGCGGACGGAGGTAAGAGGAGCTGCGGCCCGAGAGCAGCGACGGAAATACGTGGCAGAGTGGAGCTGCTATTAGCTTAGCTTCGGGACAGCAGCTCAGAACAAGTGTTAATAATAATATCATCATTATTATTATCGTTATTATCATTATTATTATCGTTATTATCATTATTATTATCGTTATTACAGCCTGTGGTGGAGCTCATTATAGTAAAAGCGGGTTAAGCCTCTCTTCTCTGTTAGCAGCTAAAGCTACAGTCTTCATAGAAACGGTTCTTCAAGAGTTCCTTAGTAAAGGAAATGGTTCTCTTTAGAACCATGAGTTTAATATAGAACGATTTCATGCTTAAATGGTTGTTCAGATTGATGGAGAACGTGTTCTAGCTGTATGGTTCTGTATAACACCAGAATGGTTCTGCTGTGGTTACGATGTCAAGCTTGTAATGATAGAAGAACCTTTTTTAATGTTACACAGAACCGTTTTCAAAAAGATTCTACGTTATATGGAACCATACAGCACGTTCTCCATCAATCTGAAGAACCATTTAAGCATGAAATTCTTAAACAATGAAGGGAATGAAGTCATGGTTCTAAATAGAACCATTCATTTGAATAAAGAGCCATCTTTATTATGAGTTTGATCAGCAATAACTAACAAACATCACTAACAGCAGTAATAAATGAGGTTATTGATCAGCTCAGCGCTGATGCTATTGATGGATGTGTATCTTGTTTACACTGTGTTTATATCAATGAGTAAAGGAACATTACACTTTTAAAAAGGTTCTGTAGTAAAAGTAATGGTGACCCATACAATGGAGAACAGTCTGTCTGACTGTGTATTTGGTTCTCTGTGTGATTAAATATCTCGAGAACCTGTTTTATAGAGTTAAAGAACCTTTTAAACTGATTGGTCCTCCTCAGCTCCCAGTCTGGACACTTCAAAAACAAACCATGTTTTATTATGAAACATGTTCTCTGCTATGTTCTAGACATCATAATGTGCAAATGATTTTTATTTTTTTTTTTTCTAGGAAACTTATAGTATTTAGTGTCCACTGTACTGGACGTTTGGACTTTTTTTTTGAGTTTTTGAATAATTGACCTTTTTCATTAATGCATGTTTAGGCCTGTATAAACGTCCACTGTTTCCAGAAGAGAGAGAGAGTCTGGACGGACAAACTTACAGAAACATTTCTGAAATAAATACAGGATCGTTTAGAAACAGTATTTCATTTGGAGGCTGTAAATGTCTCTCCAGCTGCCCTGTGTGTTTAGATTATAAGATAAAAAAGAAAAGATTATATTAAATGATCAGCTGACAGACTGAGTTCTGTAGAAACACTTAAGATTGAGAATAGAGACATTCCTGGTGACGATCCTGGTGACGATCCTGCTTCTACAGAGCTGCAGTACCTGGGAAACAGTCCAGCTTACAGTTTTACTGGGAGGAGTTTAAGAGGTGACGATATCCTGCCTCAACACCCTGTAATCGGTCCGAAAGTCAAAACGGTCCAAAAATTGTTTTCACACTGCAGACAAACAGAACCAGTTCAGTTTGATCCGGACCGAGAGTGCCACTTTTGGTTGGACCAAATTTTGGTTCTTGCACATTTTGGCGGTTCAGACCAAACAGGTGTGGCAGGTGTGAAAGCTCCCTCAGGAGCATGTCTAGTTAAATAAACAGCTGATTTAATGCAGCGCTGAATAGTGACGATCTTAAACATCAGGATCTGTGAAGCAGCTCTGAATCCTCCACTCAGCCTGGAAGGAAAAACCAACACAGTTCTGATCTTACTGTCCAGGTCTGGGTTC